TACATGCATCTAAATTATTGGTTCTATTAATTACACTCATTTTTTTTTCTTCCTTTTTTCATATATAATAAATTCGTTGTTCAAAATTACACAAACCAAATCGTTATATATAAATCATTTTTTTAAGAGAGAAGTTTTAGTCTTTTAGATATAAAGCTGACGGAATACACGAAAAAAAAAAAAAAAATAGAATGTACAGTAATCCGGAAAAGATAAACTTCTTTTTTTCTAACCATTCAATTGATGTTAAACCGTTGAATATATATAACCAGTCCCACGATTTTTCCCAAAAACATTACGGACGTGATAGTTGTGCCAACAAACCTAAGTTTTGACTCAAAACTTTTGAGCAGAACCAAAGATAAGGATTAACGTTTCTTGTGTGATCAGAATTAGCTCCTAAAGTGTAGGGATTTTGGGCTTAGTTTATGTTAAATTTATTGTGTATAAATACTTCGAACATGTGAAATTATATATATTATAAAAGATGAGTTTCATTCTCTCTTTGAGTGACACGTGTCCTCTTTTTTTCAGGGAAAAAAATGAAAAGTTACTAAAGTACCATTTTTTATAGCAACGGATGCATTTTTAAGCTATGTGTTCTTTGTTCTTTGAGGATGCATCTTTTCTTCTTTGAAAATGTTTTTTCCCAACCTTTCATTTTCTCCAAATGTTTTTAAAACTTTAAAAAACTAATCTATTTAATAATCATGAATTTCATTGGATGACTAGATAAAATTATCGTAGTCCACTTGGTTGTAGACGGCTAAAAGGCGCAAGAAAAGTTGATGACCGATATAAGAAATTTTGTTATGAAAATTCTTCCTTGCTAGGTTTTATGTTGATATTGAAGATTCCGTTGAAAGAAAAAGTTAAGACAAATAAAACAAATCGAAACGTTCGAAAACATCGAACATGTTACACGTTTTTTGACTTGCAAGAAAATTCATGAGTAATCGAGATGTTATCAATTGATCAAGTTTCCTTAATAATCAGAATTAATCAAATTTCTTCATCGTTGATGAATTCTAGGTGATAAGGATTGTTTGCCGTCAAATTTGTTGTCATGTTTCTTGCTAATTCCAACATCTTTTATATCTCGGAAAACAATAGAAAAACGCCTATCTTTATGACGAGAAGTTTCTTCTCCTTTCTTAATGATAAAGACCCAAAATATTGACTTTGATTTGAAAAAAAAAAAAAAAATCTTATGGTTTTGTGTCCAAATGAGAGTGAGAAGAAGATACTTCGTCATGTGAAGGCAAGGAGAGAACACAAAAACAAATGTTTTTTGGAGTTTAGAAACAGAAGCAGTGCGGGTACTCGCTACTCCGTACGTGG